ACTGAGTAAGAGAGAACCTGGCTTTTAGAGTGCATTATTTAAAGTGCTCCCTGGGGCGTTATTTTGAAATTAGAAAAGGAAGAAATGCGGCTTTGATGATGTGAAAAATTTGCCCTCATCCCCCACCCGTCACCCTGATTACTCACGGTGTGACAAATGGTACCCTCGGCCACATGCTTTAGGATTTTGAATACTGAGGAAGAATTTGCTCAGTGTGATTACGGAAACAACCAATTTCCATAAGTGAAAATGAGCATGCTTATTAATGGGTCTGCAATTGCCTATTGCAGTCAATCACGTTTATAACTAGCAAGGAGAATGATTGTTTTGCATGATTTAATGTTTACACAATTACCATTGCACAGCCAAGCTTGCTGTACTAGAGGCTGGGGAAAGAAGCATATGTGGTCCTTTTGCAGGTAATAAAATGGAAAATCCAATTTGCAATTGCAGAATAAGCCTCTGAGTGATATATGATCTTCATAGCAGCATCGGTCAGGGGGTCGCCGCTAATCACGGCGCTGCCTGGCTTCCCCAGTGGCCTGCGCCTTCCGACTGAGGAGTGAGCAAAGCGAATCGGTGTCTGGGAGCCAGCCAGCGTGTCTGTAGATGCACCACTTTCGAGCTTATTAGATCCTCTTTGTCACAGTGCTTAATCCTGCTGCCTGATCCTTGTTAGAACAGCACCGGAGCACCGCTCAGCCTCCTAATAAAGGGGCTGGGTGAGGGCTGCGTGCTCGGCGCACTGAAGCGTGCGGAGCGAGGGCGACGGCAGGCTGACTGACAGCGGGGTGAGATGCGTCCTGCATGTTATTGCTTAAAAGGGAACCCACCCCGGACAGCTGACAGTCGAGCCGGGCCGAGGCAGTGAGAACTTGTTGCTAGGCCGATAGGAGAGGTGTCATCTTTTCACACAGTATAATGGCCTAGCTTTACTCTAATTATAATTAGGCCTCTTCTGAAACTGCTGTGTGTCGGGCTTGCGCAGAGTGAGGTAAGAGGTACTGGAGACGAACAGCTTGCTGGGAGGATTACAGCTACCCAGAAGCAGGGATTGTGTTATCCACCAGTGACACCATCCTATCGCACCAACGTCTAGCTCTGAACAGGCATTGCCTGTTAAGCTCATGCGTGATTTCCATCCTGGTCACAGGCGATTGTTTCTTCTGTGAGGTTTTTATGGTGCTTGGTTAAAGAGACTGTCAAATAAGAAGCGATTGCCTTCTGTTTTCCCTCCTGTGAACTTGAATCATTCTTTTCTCTTAGGCTTCTCAGTTCTTGTAGCTTTATGAAGCACCCGTGAATCTGATTTAGAGGCAAGTCTGAGACTAAAAGAAGGAAATGGGAGTGGGCTGGAGTAACCCAGAGTCCTGCCTCCTCCCCCAGCCCTGGCCAGAATGTGCCAGTGGTTTCCAAGTGATGGGAATGAAGACACTCATGAATAGCCCTGGGTCTTTCTGCTTTCCCGACTTTCAGACATCAGTGTAAGACTCCTTATCCCAGAGGGGAGTGTGTCTAGCTTGCATCCAGCGTCTCCTAGGTGCTCCAGTTAGCAGAAGTCATTAGCAGTCCCTTATGCCTCTTCGTCTCCACTGACAGCACTAATAGAGACGTCGCTTAGGACTGACAGATCTCCAGTGGGTGAGAGGCTTCAGACAGAAGGGCATGACTGACCTTTCTTGGCATTATTCCCTGTGGTCTGTCTTCCATGTGTGGCAGTCGGGCAGCATAGAACTTCAGTGCATTATTTTTGCAGGATTACCATTAAAAAGCCTGCAGCCTTCATAAGAAGCTGTTAAGAAGTTAACAAGAGGCCGTGTGCGTGCCAAGAGTGTTTGTGGGTTGTTGGTAATTGAATGTGGGCTCCTGTATTGTAAGTTCCAGGATAGTCCATTGAAACCTACTTAGCTCATATCGTGCCTGTACTTCTGGATTATTGAGGCAAACCTTGGAACTTGGCAGAAGGGAGCTTGTGATATACTCAAGAGAAAGAAGAGAATTTCTTTCTGTGCAAATTTGGAATAGCTCAGGCTTATCTATAGTATCTTCCCCGGACCCTTTCTCTGGTCCATGTTGCTGTCATACTGACTGAGGGCCCTGAGAATACACTGCAGCCAGAAGTGCTCTGTGTTCCAAACACAGCCACTTCCCCCCACCACTCCCCGCTCTTCTCCCCAAAGTAGAGAACAAATCCATACTCTCACGACCCCCATCTAAACCACATGTTAACAGGAGAGCCATGCAGTTGCATTAATTCATGATAACACATGAATGATGGAAAGTCCTAGGTGTTTGTTCAACAGAATAAAATTCTACCGACTAGAAATTCAAATTATATGTCTCAGTAGGATAAGCATTGTTGGGGTTGAGAAAGGAACAGATTAAGGACAGAATTGCCAATAATGAGGGAAACCCTTGGCTTAGGAATTAGTTCACAACTTAATTGCATGAATTTATAATGTTTATCACAACCTTTTTTTTTCCCTCCTCCCCATCCACTTTGTTTTGGGTACCGGGGATCGAACTCAGGACCTTGCGCTTGCAAGGCAAGCACCGGAACCACTGAACTAAATCCGTGGTCCCCATCCACTTTGGATACACGTATTTTTCCAAGGGTTTCCATAATTTGTTTCCTGGTTGATTCCATACTGAGTCAGTGGGAATGGCTTGGAGGCAGGAGGATGACAATAAGTAAGCACAGTTATTTCTTAGGTGGATGTTTGAAGAGAGGTTGTTCACCTATAGCGCTTGCATCCTCAGTTTGTTAGTGAATTACTGCACCATGGTTACTGTTGCCTGGAACATGTGCCTGTCCCTCGGTGGCCACCATCCTAAGAGCAGTCTGCAGTGTGTTCATTGGGCATGGAAAATGTGACACATCAGAAATACAGACTTATGTGTCAGTGAATGACTTCTTTCCAGAAATTCCTACTATCTAGGAAAAGGGGAATTTGAAGAAAAAGAAGCAATAAAGAAATGATATGAGGGGGCTGGGGATTTAGCTCAGTGGTACCGCCACCTGCCTCATAAGCGCAAGGTCCCAAGTTCTATCCTGAGTACCAAAAAAAGGAAATGATATGAAAAGTAGATATAGAAGTATCATAAACTAGATCCTAAGAGGAAACAGGGATGATAGAGAAATGTAAGCAAGAGATCAGTGTCACTCTGGGGAAGCTAAAAACCAACCTCTTCCCTAAGTAAAAGTAGAAACAAAACAAAAAAATGAGTGGCAGCTCCTTAAAAACAAGATCAATCTGGGGTAAGTTACTCAACTGAGTAGCATGTCTGTAACCCTTGTATTTTCATTCACCCTAGACAGCTTCCTGACTCCTAAAGGATCAAGCTCATTAATTACCAAGTGATATAATATCTGACTAATAATGTTTAACCACTAAGATGAGGACAGTGATGTTATTGATAATCTTGGAGAGAAATGTATCTGCTTATTTTTGCACTTGACACCAATAAATTCGGTTTCCTTGGAAAGATCATGGTGAATTATTCTCTCTTAATATTTAGTAATATCTGCTTCCTTAGAAGCATTTTGTGAATGCTGTGAATTTTGTGAATAATCGCCTTTCTTCCTCCATTTTTCTGAACAGTTGCAAGTCCATATAACAAAAGCAGAAGGGATTCAAAGCATCTATTCTTTTGTTTAAAGAAGAAATATTGCATCATCTTCCCAGTAAAAATTTCATTTATCCTTTCATTCCCAAAGCTCAGGTCAGCTAAGAAATGATTTGTGTGCTCGTATACTTGCATCCCAGAATACATTTTCATTATCCTGAGTTATCAGTTATGACAAAATAGACAATAGAGCCTCACAATAGGACAAACATGTTACTTTGGTTGTGCCTTGGGAAGAGTGATTGTTGAATGTCTGTGTTCGAGCAGCTCTGGCATGTGGACCACAATGGACATGCTCAGTAGGAATTTTAGGGAAAAGCCCTCTGTCCATTTGCTACATTCCCAACAAGGTGATATCCAGAGCTCCATTCCCTGCCTGTTTTTTATGTTTTATTTTGACAGAATCTTGCTAAGGTAGGTTACCCGTGCTGAGCTGAGATTTGCAATCCCCCTTCTTCAGCTTCCCGGAGTGCTGGGATTGCAGGTGTGCACCACCACGCCTGGCAAACTCCTCTGTACTGATCTAGATTGACATGTGATTTAACCTGATTGCTTTACCTGTAGAAAGCAAAGGTGGTTTCTAGTCAGGCTTGAAATCCCTGTGCCAACATTTTCTGACCTCGGTACATATTAATGAATTCCCTCAGGTTTCCATTTCTTCACCTATAAAGTGATGTTAATAACTAACTTTGGGGACTGCTGGAGAATTCAGTGAGGAGATGATTGTAAAAGGGAATTTGTAAACCGTACAAGCTGTACAAGTGTTAGTCTCCATCATTAGCATGTTAACAAGCTTCATTCAGTGCCGATTCTGAGATGTGCTTTTGGTGCTTGAGAAATATAGAAATAATTTTATTGGGTAGCATTCTTGTCTTCATTCATATGCTGCATTGCTTGATGAAAAAAGTGGTGTTGATCAGATTGAGCTTAGATCTACTAGGATCAAAGTGAATACTCACTTTGACGTTCTCAAGGTAGAATTTCAGGGGGCTTCAATACCACCGCTTCCTTCATTCTTGACCAAGTCTTTTGTAGTCTCTGTAGCAAATACCTAGAAATGCAAGGCATATGTTACACTGGCACGGATTCCTCCCAGGTCTGCGTCTTTCCTTCCCCCTTCCCTCCATTTCCTCTCCCTTCCTTCCTATTTCTTCTGTTTGGTCTTAATTTCTTGAAACAGGGTATTGTCACTAACATTATTTATGCACCAGTGGTGTCAGAGGGTAAGTAATTTTTTAAAAATCCACTCAGTGACCACAGGGCCCCAAGGTACGTAAAGTTGTGCTGTAGCTACTGAATAGGACTTTTTAGACCTGATCTCTGTTGGTTGAGATGACCTTCACCTTTTGCTTTCTCCCTCTTCTTCCTTTCAGGAAACTTGGATTTAACTGGTCAGAAGCAAGTATTCAAAGCAGAGAATAACCCCTGGGTTACCCCTATAGCTGACCAGTTCCAGCTTGGCGTGTCCCACGTTTTTGAATATATCCGTTCTGAGACATACAAATAGTAAGTAGACCGATTTTCTAAAATAAATGTGGTTTTTCTGGTATTTATAATTATTCTCCAGTTAAGGAATTATCAGATAATATTGTCCTATTGCTGGCAGTTAAAACATTCCATTTTAAAATGTTTAAAACTGCATGTGGTAATTGCCTCTGTAGATTACTTTTACTTGACATTTTCAAGGACATTTTTGCCAATTTTGTTTGGGGAATTTTTAAGGTACTAAATTAGTTGAATATTCATGGCTTCAAGGAAATTCACCAGACACTTTAAGATCAGAACATATTTTATTCTTCTGTGGATGCAAAGAATTATAAGTGTTATGAACAAAATTGTTAAGCAGTTTATTTATAAAATCAGAATACTAGAAAAGCATCATTCTATTATGTAGAAGGTTTTACTCTAGTGACATGATAATCTCTAAAGGGAAGAGAAAGGGCAGAAAAAGAGAGGAGGAATCAGCTGAGAAGCACAGCTTCAAAATTTCTGAAATCCTGACTTCAGGTTAAGGGGAGTTATAGGAGCTACCCCTGGCCAGTCCCACCCCTTCCTCCTGTGTCAGGACTGGAAGGAATTCCGCCTCCCAGCTGCTCCTGTTTTTTTGTCTTCTGTCATTGTTTTCCCACCTCATCCCAGCTGCTCACCCCAGCAACAGTCATTTATCTCAATGCTTAGCTGATCCCTGAAACTGAAATCTAGGCTAGTTTTAAATATCTACAAAAAAAAAAATGTGGAAAAATATCCATAGTCAGGCTTAATCCGTTTCTGAGTTCCATACCAGCTTTTGAGAATGTAGCATCCCAACTATGTTAGTGAGGGGCTAATGCATCGTTGAAGATTACGTCCAGTTGAGAATCAATCTCTCTCTCTCTTTCTCTCTCCCCCCCATCCCTTCCCCCTCTCCCCCATCACTCTCCGTTCTCTCTTTCTCTCTCTCTCTCTCTCAAGATGCCCATCACTCAGTGCATTTCTCACTGAATCAAGTAACAAGACAGAACTTCTGCCTATGAATGGCTACCTCTTCCCAGAGCACCACAAAAAACAATGACATTCAAATTAAATACAGTAACATTGCCCATCCTCACAGATGAAAGCAGCTTAAAGCATGCTTTACATTTTTTAGATGATACTCTGACATTTACAATATAATCCTTAATAGGCAGAGTAAAATGGGACAAGTATACAATATGTATTAGAGTTGCATGAGCCATATAGATATGTGCAGTTATTACACATTCGATCTTTGTTTTAAATGCAAATATTGCCTAGCCTTAGAAATTAGTTTGGTTAATGAAATTGTGTGGAAATAATACAATTGCACACTAGCAGATTATTGTTCATTTTGTTTCTCTTGTTACCATCAGGAGTTTTAGATAGGGCTCTAACTTTTTTCTTGGTAAATATGAAGCTATAGAGGGCTTGGTTTGTAAGGTATATTTAAGATACCTTTCTGCATATGATAGTATATAGAAAAATACCCCCATAGGGCAGGGATGCTCATGACTTCTGCCCTCGTCTCCTTGGAAAAGAGGAAAGATGACTGCCCCTCATCTTTTCGGTCTACATAATCTCCCCTAATAATCAGCATCACTTCTAACCATTATACTGTCCCAACACCGCAGAGAGAGAGGGAGGGAGAGAGAGAGAGAGATTACCTGTGCAGAAATGTTTCCATTATGTTTTGCCAGATTAATATATATGCTGATTTAAAAAATTCTTCTAAATGCCCTCCTAAAAGTCATATTCATAGGAAGATGAATAGCTGCATATTAGTATATCTTTGTTTAATAACGCAACTTAACTCTTCCACTGTTTTAAGTAGCCATTTTATATTTATTTGCAGTATCCTGCCCAACTATCAGGCAAAAAAAATACTGTTCTTATTAGTGGAAACTCGGCTGCTTTTTAAAGTTTTTCATGTGACACCCTTCAGGGATAGCAATTTGTTCCCGACACTCATTTTTTTAAAAAAATAAGAAGCAAATTTCACATTTAATGCCTTAGTTTTAGATCCTCAATTCTAAAGTTCCTAATGGTTTTGTCTTTGTTTCTTGTTACTTAGGCCACATACACTCTTTCAATTAAAAATCCTCTTATATTTACGTGGGTATGTGTATAGAACTATACGCTATATGTTACAGGTATCTATATGAGTATGTTCTGTATTAAAGATATATATGTGTATTTGTAAACAGACCTCTGAACTGTCATGAAAGCGTCATTTTCTTTTGGCTCTTGAAATGGCAGTGAACTTCCTTCCTTTCTCTTCTTCAAACCAGTTAACCTATTACCTAAATGAGAGCAGTGAAGAGGTAAAGAACTGTTCAGAATGTTTTATTTTCATGCACAGCTGTGGGCGACTTTCACAGTGACCTTTGTGTTCTCAGCACATCTTCCAGGCCTTCTGAGCCTGGGGAGGCGACAGCGGGAAGATGGATTATCTGATTTATGGGCTCTAATGGACTGCAGGAGGAGACATGGACGTTTGAAACAAAACGTTGAATTTGGCGCTTGGGAAGAAGTGAAACACTCTGAGATGATTTGACTTGCTGAAGATAGGAGCTTGTTCCGTGAGGCAGGAGGAGGAGTGGGTAGTTGTGGCAGGCGGGCTGTTGAGGTGTCGTTCTTCCGAGGTTCTGTGGAGGACGATTTGGGCGTCCATCATGTCCTCCTCTTCATTTCTCAAGCCCAAGTGGCACTCTGATGCTCTGTCCTACTCTTCGCAGGGGGCATGTACTGGCTGGTGTCATTGTTTTGCCCATTACAAGTTGTTTCCTCTGTTAAAGTAAAGGGTTTTCTGGGTGTGGTTAAGGGTCACATCCCATAGGCGTGTCAACATCTCGCTCTGTAGGTGTTGGCCTCTGTTTTCCTGTGAAGGAGAATTATGATGGCACAGTCATCACTTGTTCCGTTTCCAGAATGTAGGGTATTTTTTTTCCTCCCAGGAGGGGCAGTCAGGCTGAAGTCAGGGCTCTCGAGGAGATGCGGTGTGAAAGGGAAGTAACTCCCACTTTTCACATTTCCGTCGAGGAAGGGGACTAGCAAACCGGGATCATTTAAAAAGCTGACAGGTTGACTCTTGTCAGCAAGCTCATAAAGGAAGAGATTTGACAAATGCTAGGCAGAAAAATGTGTTGGTTGAAAGAAGCATTTTGGAAACAGGGTTTCTCATGAAGGCTGCAATTTGCCAAGTGTGGCGATGCTACGGCCCCTTCGCAGCCGGGAGGAACTCAGAAAATGTCCGCTCATCGTCCTTCCTCTCGTGTGGTTTTCTTTTCTCCCCAGGGAAAGGCACCCAACTCACTTGTTTTTGTTTTATGTTTTGTTTTTTCGTCTTAAACTAGCCATACCGTTTTTCAGGTTCATTAATAGAAACATTTCAACGAAACAATGCTTGGTGCTTGGTTGGGGACGATGAGAAAAATGCTGGGAATTTCTCTTGAGAAGCAATCTAGCAAACTCAGTCCTGTTGCATTTGTAAGGAAGAATTCTTTTATCTGCTGGTCAGTGTTTCTCAAGTTGTTTTGTTTGTGGAATTAAAACTAAGCAATGTTTCTTCTGCACTGTGTGCAAACCTATTAGAGGCTATAATGGACATAAATGGGCCTTATTAATGAGCTACTCTAGCCACGAACAGCTGCTGAATCAGTGGCCTACAATTTCCTTAAATAACCACTGTATCTGGAACCTAACAGGTGAGGCTGTTCATAGGGCAGCTCTTTGTAGAAAGAAATCATGTCCAGCAAATGCCCTATAAACCTTATTATTTTCTGGTGAAATCTGAATGAAGGCACAAAACCAGCAAATGGTTTTATAAATATCTTCAGAAAATAGAGGAGAGGGGTCAAACTGCCAGGACCTTCCCAGTGAGTTTCACATACTGACAGTTAGTATGCAGAACAATGTAGACTTTTCGTTTTTATTACTGTGTCTGAAAATAGCTCAAATTAAGCCACAGACAAACAGTATTTCTGTGTGGCAGACGTGAGGATGAAGGACGACTGTTTTCCCTAAAGATTGCTTTTACTTTTAAAAGGTGACTATGTGTTCAGTCCCTGGTAATTTGCATTCTCTTTATAGATGCTACATATGTATGTTTTGCTTCTTTTTTAAAGCTAATAAATGTGTTATCACATTTCCTCCATAATATAAAACCCAGTTCCAACTTTGGACATCTCTGGACCTATTTGCATGCGAATATGTTGCCCTGAACCAGTGTTACTGAGAATTATCAAACAAAAGAGAAAGCCATGAAAACGATGCCACGTTGTGGGCTCTCTTGGGCCACATCTCACAGCCCGTGTTCTCTTTGCCAAGGAGGGGAAAATCAAAATGGAGTAGGATTGGTCAGGGGCGCTTCAAACAGAATTGGGAGCCCATGGCTAACAGATCCCAGGCACATCCAGTTGAACCTTAGAACTGGGCTGTAGGCACACCCAGCCCTTCCAAAGCCCGTCACCTCTGCTGACTGGCTGTCCGGCGACCCCTTCCCAGCCTGCCCAGCCTGAGCCTGCACACGGTCCCCTCCTTTTAAGACAGCGTAACTTCTACCCGCACCACTCATCTGAATTACCAACCCCCTCACAGAATTTTTGTTTTATTTTGTTTTGTTTGCGACAGGGTCACAGTAAGTTGCTCAGGCTGGGCTCTAATTTACAGTCCTCCTGCCTCAGCCTCCCAGAGGGCTGAGATAATGACTATGTGCCACCCTTCCAGTCTAAAGCTACGGATATACCTGCCACATTGTAAAACCTCAGAGCACATTTTCAAGATTGCTTAAATGTGACTTTTGTTTGTTTGGGGGTTTGTTTTGGTACCGAGGATCGAACTCAGGACCTTGCGCTTGCGAGGCAGGCAGTGGAACCACTGAGCTAAATCCCTGGCCCTTGAATGTGTTTTTTTTTTTTTCCAGACTGTAATCCTGATTAGCCCCAAATAAATGTAATTCTCTTTGTTCTCAAGTAGGTTGACTTTATTCTAGGTCGCCAGCTTTCGATGGTAAA